CCACCTGCTAGTTCTGGACCTCATAAAGAGGGGGAAGAAAGGCCCCAGTGCCCACACAACAGCTAATTAATGAATAAACCAGTGGCCACAAGTTAGCAGAGCACCACAGGGAAAAATGAGTGTGAGATTTGGAGTCCACCAAAAGGTGGATCTTACACAGAGGCAGAACTCAAAGACCTCTAGAAGTAGCTTTAGGTATCTACTCAAAGCTTGTTTTCCTTCAAAACAGAAAAGTAGAGCTCAGGGGTTCGGTCTGTTCCTTCTTGGGGACATGCTCACAGAAGTGGTTCGGTTTGTTCCTTCTCGGGGACGTGCTCATAGAAGCCTGTCAACCTGTAATGCATTTCCTGAAGGAACGATCTTCACCAAAAGAGATGCCTGGCTCCCTTCCCTTTGCAGGATAATAGCAATTGATAACCAAGGAGACGAGAGATGACGCAGCCGTGAGTGACGGCAGGTGCAGAGAAGCCCTTCTGGATGACGGGACTAGGGTCTAGTATGGTTTGCTGCTGTCTTCATGTGGGGGAGGGGTACAGCAGAGGCTCTGCTTCCGCCTCTGGTCCTGGCCTGTGCTGGCACAGGGTGTGTCCAAGAGCAGTGCGCAGCTTCGAGATACTTTCTGAATCCTCTCCGAGGCTGGCTGCGGAAGCAGACTTCCTATGGATGGCTTTATTATTTTTGTTTTATTTCTGGCAACCCCCAAACCAAGTTACTTTTTAATCTACTGCCTCTGTGTCAGGGTGCATAGGGGGGAGGCTTCTCCCCCGGGAGGAAGTAGGTTGGTGTGCAGAGTGAAGGAGCATTAGGAGAATGCCCATGGCTGGAGTTGCACTGAGAGAGAGACTCTGTGTCCTCAGGCCGAGAGAGGTCAGCAGAGGACGAGGCCGGCAGGGCACTGGAGGGCTGCAATTAAACAGAGAGGCGTCCTTGATCAGCAGGTGGGGGGCTCGGCTACACCATCCAGAATATATACCAGTCTCGCCTCGGCCCAGCACCCTACCAGACCAGGACCCCCAGGAAGCCTCCCAGGCCTAGGAACAGCTAAGAGAGGTCAAGCGTCGGCCTGTCTGTGCCTGAGTGACACAAACTTGACTTCTAAAGCTGCCGGGGACTCCCCGGGAAGGTCTCCCAAGCTCCAGACTTCCTGGCCTGCTTAGCCCTGTCAACTTTCACCAGCACTGACTAGAAGAACCAGGGACAGCCTAGAGCCAGATCCTTGGCACTCACTGAAGAGAGCAAGATCATTAACATTCCCAACACAGCGTGGTGGTTAATAGGTCAGGGACCAAATGTGGTCAGCCATAGTCTAGAAGTTTAAGAAAGGCATTTTTCAGAGGCAGTCAACATTTAAACAGCTCCCTACTGTTGGAGAGTCTGGTCCAATTGGTTGCAGACCTTAAGAAAAAAGGCAGTGACCCTCAAGGAGAATGGAATCCTGCCCGAGTGTGACCATGGGTTACAGTTTCAACAGTATTTCCCTGGTCCTGGGGATAGTGAACCAGCCTCGACTCCACTCATGAAAGCCAGTCACTAAACAAGTCTGTCTCTCATGTATACACACCTTTTGGTATTGTGTCTCTGAGGAACCTCAACAGACACCCCCAAAATCAAGGATGAGTTAATGTGAGAGGAGAAATTTAGGGAACAGCACAGATCTGAAGTAAATCTTTTCTAAGTCTTCTTATTTTTCTTTTCCCCTCTTAAGTCCTAGAAGTTTGAAACTTAAAATCAGCATTTTAAAAAAAAAATAAAGCAAATTTTGAAGTGAGTTTTTAAAAGTGACTCCTGTGTGATTCAACTGCTAGCTCGGGAATTTTCTCCTGTTTCTCTCTCCAATCTGTGTGTGCATCCTTCTGACCACAGGGGCCAGTGCATGTCCAAAGATCATCATCCTTTTAGGTCTACTAGGATGGGCTTCTCACCCTAGCCATTCTGCTCTTTTCTGAAAAAGAAAAAAAAAAAAGCAGATACATAAGCCATGAAGCAAGCCCTTAGGAACCAGAGAGCAAGCTCCTAGGAACCACAGGATAAACCACCAGAGACCACAGGACAAACCACCAGGAACCACAGAATAAGCCACCAGGAACCTCAGGATAAATCACCAAGAATCACAGAGCAAGCCCCCAGGAACCACAGGATAAACCACCAGGAACCACAGAATAAGCCACCAGGAACCTCAGGATAAACCACCAAGAATCGTAGATCAAGCCACCAGGAGCCACAGAACAAACCACTAGGAAACTTGGGTGAAACTGCCTCCCTAAACAAGGCCTCGTGAAGGCAGGCCCTGCCCACATGGAGAGGACCACCCCAGCAATACCATTCAGGCTAAACTCAAGTGTCACACTGAGCAAACTGCTGGGTGTTGGGACAGGCCCCTTTAAAGGTTTTCTTTTGACTAACTTCACAAAACACCCCCACACAGCCATCTCACTCCCTCCTTAATAGGAATAATTTCAGGGATGTTTGCTGGCTGCTAATGACTTCAACAGGACACTTAAAGTATCTCCTTCCGTCGGTTGACCAGTGGAGACGGCATCCATGCTGTTGTTCTTCGGAAGCACACGGGCTCATCCGATATGCCTGTTCCACAGAAATCTGATTACTAAGCATATGTGGCAATTATACTCCCACACATGCTGCTGTGAAAGCTGCTTAGCCCCGAACACGGGGCCCCCAGCCCTCCTCTGGGAGGAAGGGAGGCATCCACTCTCTGCAACAGAGGTCCCAGAAGGTAGGAGAAGAAAAGAGCACCCATGGGACTTGGCAGGTCATCTTCCAGGCTCCCAAAATGTGTCCATGGTGAAAGACCGCCCCTTGAACACCACCACAGGGGGCATTTGTCCTTTTCTATGTGGAACAGGGATGAGCACTTCATGGGGAGCCTCACACTCTTCGAGAGCAGGCTGGTAGGCCCTCCACAGCAGTCCCTTCTTCCTCAGGCCAGGCCTTCAAGACAGAGGGGTAGGCAGGCACCAGGGCTGGCCCAAACACTCCAGACATCAGGCAGGAGGAAATGGAACCCCTCATCATCATCATCCCCCGCGGAGCATCACGTGTTCTGAGAGAAGACAGCCTCCTCAGGCTGTGCTCTGGAGTTGTTCTTGGCATCTACGTGATTTAGTGGCTGCGTGTGTCCAAAGGCAGCCGGGCCAGCTAAGGGAGACCCATTGGGTCTATCCAGAGACAGTCCTAAGTGTCTCACATGTGGATCTGATAAAAGACCAGGAGAGAGGAGCAGGTCCCAGGACAAGCTGTGGCCTGAGATGATAGCATCCTTCCTTGTGTGGAGACCAGGGAGATCCTTCTCGAGGCCAACGCAGGAAGTTCCATGGAAAGGCAGAGGCCTTGGAGCTGCAGCTGCTCCTGCTGATGGCCTTGAACCATCTTACTTCCTGACCCTAGACATAGCTGCTTCCAGTGTTCCAGAGAGCGGAGATGGTCCTGAGGTAGGCTTTACCCACAGGGTCTTACGTTCCTTGACTTGAGGTCTCTGTGATTCCAGTGGATGAGAGCCCAGTTCCCTTTGGGAAATCCCACTAGCACAGCCTGGGGGTGCCACACTGAGAGTCCAGACCCACTCCCCAACACTGCAACAGACCCAAAAAGAACCAAGAAATCCAGGGATTACAGCCCCAGCTAGCTCCTTTTGCAGAGAAGCAGAGGAAGTGGAAGTACAGAGAAAAGGGACCTTGGAGTGGGTAGCGCAGCGGTACAGTGACCTCACCTTTCTGAGTCCAGGGCACCAGTGAGCCCCAGAAAACAGAAGGAAGCTGTACTTCTTGGGGTTCCCATGGCTTCTTCCAGCTGTACCTGCTACCAGCCCCCACACTTCACAAATGTGGAGCCCAGATGATCGAAAGACTCCCAAGTATTGCTCACACCTGGTCACTATGCTGGGTCAGTCCTGGGGCCCTGACAGCTTTCTCTATCCAAGATGGTCAGAGCTCGACACTCAAGCCCTCCCCAAACAGTCCTTTGGCTTGGCAAGGCCTCCCTTGACTTTTGTGTGGCTCACTAGGTGCAGGTCTCCTGGGGGATACCTGAGAACATGTGACTTCAAAACAAATGACTTCACTCCATTCACCAGAGCCCACAGGTCAAAGAATCTCATTTCAGCGGAGTGTGATGACACAGAGATACACTCAACACAACTGCTTCTATTAGTGCCGTAAGACAAGCCACCGAGCAGCCAGGCTGCATGAGCGGGCATCACCCCATCTAGAAAGGTTGGTCTAGGCCTGTTCTCTATCTCCCCGCAGGAGACACCGAGCAATGTCTACAGATGGTTTGGTTGCCATGACTGGGGGTTTCTGCACAGGTAGGTAGAGGACAGGGCCTGCCTGGCACCTCACAGTGCTAAGAAGCAAGGCAGGAGGACCACAAGTCCACAGTGCAAAGTCCAAGTCAATACCACTGGACAGCCAGGACCCTTTCATTCATGGCCACCAGAGCTTCAGAGGACATCAACAAGCCAAAGCCAAGCGTGGAATAGAGGCAAAGCCCTGTTCAAACAAGATCTTATTCCAGACCTCCTCCCCCGATGGCCTCATGGTCCACAGCACTGGGCACATGAGCCTTACAGGGTTGGTAGCTTTGTAGATAAATTTCAGTGGATGTTGGCATGCACCTGGGTCCACTTAGAACACTCAGTGTCATTACAAGAGTTCAGAACCCAGGCAGCCAGTGGCGTCCTCAGTTCCCCCGGCCTATATAAGGACAGTTCATGCTAAGATAGACAGTGTATAAAGCAGCTAAAAACAGTATATAAAAATAAATGGTTCTTCCAGTAGGAAGAATACTCTCATAGGTTACTAGGGCCATGAGCAGTAATACACCTCGAAAATGGTATGATCCACTCCATAATGATCCCAGTCTCCATCATCTAGATCAAAGCACATCCTTCTCTACTCACAGCCGTACCCTGTGTACTAAGGAGCCCACAGAAACAACCACTGACTCCACAGCATCCCCAACCCCAGCAGGTAACACTTGCCTACCTGAAGTGGCAGAGGGTAGGAGGAACAGGTTGGCACAGTCATAGATGGAGGGCACAAGCCAGTGTAGGCTAGGATCTGCTGGGCAGGGTTGTAGAGGATCTGAGGTGGTGGAGATGGGCCATAGGCCAGTTGAGACAGAGGGACCTGTGAAGAAAGAGGAAGTGACTATCCAAGCCGATGCACCCTCAAACCCATTCAAGGCATTACTACAGCTTGGTCCTCTGGGGAGCCCTAACCCAAGCCATGAAGAATAGGCCAGCCCTCTCTTCATGACTTCACAGAAAGTTCCACATCCTTACATATGGTCTCTGGGTTGGAGTCACCACCTGGAGCTGCCACCAGAAGAGGCAGCCTGGTAGAGCCCAAGAACTAGACTGTGGGAATTCAGGTTCTAAAGAGACATCCCTAAATTTCCTTGGCAACAAGAAATCTGAGAACAAAGAGCTAAGCAGCAACTCTGGGCTGCAACCAAAGGCCAAAGCCCCAGGACAACTGGCTGAGCACAAGAAGAACAGCCCAGAATGTGTTCTGCAGCCCTGTGGATCTGGAAGAACCCCTAAAGGGCTTGCCATGGACCCTGAAAGGACACAAGGACAATTCTACCCAGTGATGAAAGGGTAGCAGGCCAGAGCTCTAGGGCAGGTTCAGTAGGGCTGGCTCAGAGAGAGGTAGGTGTGGGTGAATTTCAGTTCTCCCATCCAGCTTGTTCAAATGGAATCCAAGCCTACCCAGAACCATGACCAACCCAGGCAATCATGGGCCTCACAGTGACAGGGTAGCTTTGCAGGTGAGTTCCATTCTTAGATGGCGACAAGTTCTGCCGCCTCAGAGGATGGGAGAAGACTCAACCAGCAGGTGATCAAGTACAGTTTCCAGGGCAAGTGATTGGTAATCCGAGTTACCATCTGACATGCCGGTCACTCGGGAGTTTAGGTCTTTTGTCAAGAGAGCCACTGAGCTCTGGGCTATGACCGCCTGGCTGGAAACACGTAGGCTGGTACTACTCACCATGTCCTTGAAGGCTCCCAGGACTGCCGCTGTGATAATGCCAAGGCACAGGCCCAGGACATTCAGCACTGTGGACACCCAGAGCAGCCGGTACAGGTGGACCACATCCTGGCAGCTCCGCACACCCACAAATTCATAGTAGGCAGGGGAGGACTCTGTGCTACGAGAGGGGGAGCAAAGTTACTGCCCTCATCGCTAGAGCGCGGCCAGGTGACCCCCAAGTGTTAGATCTGTGGTTAGATGACCACCACTGAGTGCCAGATCCATGGCCAGTAGACCAACCTATGCGTAGGAACTGTTGTCAGGCAACAGCCCAGGACATCATGCCATAGTCAGGGGACCACTCTGTGAGCTAAAGCTGTGTCTAGCCAGTAAGCCCTCATAGCTTAGAGCCACAGTCATGAACATTACCCCGGGGCAGTCCGGTAGTTAGTAAAGGGCTGGTGGGTAGTTAGTAAAGGGCTGGTGGGTAGTTAGTAAAGGAGCCATGGAAGCTCTCAGCTTCCAAACCGGAGAAACCCAGGAGACTTGGGGCCACTCTGACTCTTGAAGGGAGAGAGCAGAGTGGGGCTTTAGGCAGCCTTACTACTGGCCTTAAGCCTAACCATAATCCCCAACTACAATCTTAAAGCTAGAGTAGTCTTGACACCCCCAAAAACATAAACAACTCTAATCATGAAAGTAGCTATACCCAAACACTTTCCCTGAAGAAAAGCTAACCCTAACAACAAGGCTAAGACCGCTCTAGAGGCAGTCATGGCTATGAAAATAACCCAGAGCCCAAACTTACCAGTCAAATGTCCAACCAAGTGATTATCCATAGTCTTAAAACTACAATTCCAAACACAACCTAAACCCAAAGCCTAAATATATCACTAGTCATAGCCTTAACCCGAATCCTATCAGGTCCCCATTCCAAACCAAAACCAAACCCTAACCCTGGTCCTATCCCTATCCCTCATCCTAACTACAACACCGACAAATTACTAATTCTAACCACAGTGGTAGCTCTAACGATAAAATTTCACCTATCATAATCCTAAGACCAACACCAAATTTAAACCAAACCATAGTTCTATCCATATCCAAATTCTACCATTAAACCAATCCCTAAACGTAAGCATAAACTGGCCCTAGTCCCTAACCCAAGCCCTATCTCAAGTCAAAATCCTAACACTAACCCCAAACGCCTAGCATTAACATTAACCCTAACCCCAGCCCAACGTCACCCCTAACCTTTCACATGACCCTACACCCTCAAACCAAGCACAACCACACGACTGTGGTCTTAACTGTAATTACAAGCATATCCAACCCTAAGCTAGCCCCAACTCTAGAATTAACTTTGAATCTAACTTTAGCCATAGACCTAAGACTAAATTCAACTCAATGCCAACACCAAACATAACCAAACACCAGCCCTAGCCATAGCCTTACCCTTAGCATTAGCCATAATCTGAATGTTCAACCACATGCTAACTCTCCAATAACTAGCCTTCCAATAACCCTAAACCTAAGTTCAATCCTAATTCTAACACTGAACCCAATTCCAACACTAATCCTAACTATAACACCAATAACAACCTAAACCAAGCCATAGTCCTGGGTCTGAGCCTTAAGTCTAACCCCAGACCTAGCTGCAAACCTAAGCTTAACCTTAACATTTATTGTATCTTAATATAACAGTAAACCATTCTCCAACAACCACCCTAACTCTTAAATGTAGCTCTAATACTAACCCTCAAACTCCAATACTAGCCCTAACCTTAAATCCCAACCAGAAAGTCATTCCTAACCCTAACCCCACAGCAAGCCTACATCTAACATAATCTTAAACTCCAACTCTTTTGTTTTTTTCTTTTTCCAGAGCTGAGGACCGAACCCAGGGCCTCACGCTTGCTAGGCAAGCGCTCTACCACTGAGCTAAATCCCCAACCCCTAAACTCCAACTCTTAAGACAAACCCTAACCCTCATCACACCCAGTATCCCAACACCACCCCAAACTAAAACTATGCTAGCTTTGCCCTAATAATAACCCCCTACCCTACAATTAAACTTAAATTCAATGTCAAACCTAACACCAACCCTAAGCAAGAATTCAGAAAACAACACAATTCTAAAGCTAATCCCAAAGCCAATCCTAATCCTAAACCCTAGCTGTGACCATAACCATAGATAGCTACCAGCCAAAGCCAGCCCTAGACTTAAACCTAGGGCAGGCCCTGGGCCTATCCCTTAACCAAACTTCAACCTTAGCTCTAGTCCCAAAATTATAACTAGCCCTTCTAGGTCCTAATGTCTACCCCTAACCTTAACCCTAATGCCAAACACATTGTCACCCCAACATTAATCCTAAATCTCAACTCCAATATCAACCCTAACCTTTCATATAACCCTAAGGTCCCAAACCAAGTATGACCACAGTCTTAATTACAAGCATAGCCACAGTCCTATAACCAATCCTAACCCATGTCCTAGCCCTAAAACTGACTCTAACCCTTGTCCTAGCCCTAAACTTAACCTAAGCATAGCCATAACCCTAACCCTAAGGCCAAACACCAATGCCATCTAACTCTAGGATGAACCTAAACCCAAAACTAACCATAGCTCTAAATCACAACCTGAACACCAAACCATAGTTTTAACCTAGTCTTGGCAATACACTGAGCACTCTGTTGTTTTTCAAGACAGTGTGTAGCCCTGGCTGTCCTAGAATGAGCTCTGTAGACCAGGCTGGCCTTGAACTCAGAGAGATCCACTTGCCTCTTCCTCCTGAGTGCAGGGATTAAAGGTGTACACTACCATGCCCAGCTTGAATTTAACTTTAATCAAAAACCTAATCCTAACTCAAATATCAACACCAATTCTCTATTTAAACTAGCCCTGGCCCAAGGCCTAGTACTAACCCTAATCCTAACCCAAACACTAACCCTAACTGTAACCATAACCCTATCCAAAACCTTAACTATAAGCCATAACCCAACCACGAACTTAACCCTAAACTTGAACCTAGACTTCAAAACAGAGCAGCACCCCTAAGCCTACCTGTATTTCAAGCCAAATTCTAACAGTTCACCTTACTATAGCCTCAGCCCTAACCATAACACTATAGCCAGCAAAAGCCCTGAATAATCATAATCTAACCATAAACCCCAACACAGGCCCCAACCTGAGCCATTGAACTAGCCCTACCGTTAACTCTAACTAGATAAAACTCTAACATCAGTGTCAACCTTAACCCTGACACAAAGCCTGCCCTAGCTCGAGCCTTAGTATTAGTGCAAACCAAACCCTCACCTAGAGCTAGCTCTAACCCTAACTAAACCCCAATAATCGTCATAACTAACTCCAAATCCAAAACTAATGACCCTAACCTAAACCCTAGAAATGACTCTGGTCCAAACCCTGACTAATATACAACCCAAAGGACAACGACAACCCTAAACCTAACCACAATGGTAACTCTAGGGTAATACTAACTAACCCCATCCTAGCCCCGGCCTTAGCCTTTGACATATACCCCAACACCAACACCAGCTTAAACCAGCCTAACCCAATCCCTAATCTAAACATCAAATTCAAACCCAACACTAAACTTAACTCCAACTCCCCCCAAAAAAACTTAACTCCAGCTCTTGCCTTAGTGCTAACCATGACATAAACCCTAAACCTTAACCCTAACCCTAACGTTAGCCTTAGCCATACCCTAACTCTAACCGTAATGCCAAACCCAACTCCACTACCAGCTGGAATTCTACTTCTAGCCCTAATAGTAACTCCCAACTCTATCACTTTAACTCTCACCCTCACAGATCTAGAAAGCCAGTTAAAGGGGACCATTTAAATAGTGACACTTCTTTCTAGTCACCAAGACATCATTCAGACATGGACACCCTACAAGAATCACACTAGAGTGGTCCTCCCCACCACTGAAGAGCAGCAGATGGTAATCAGGCCTGGCATAAAGCACTGAGGTCCGTCCAGAGACCTGGGGAATGTTTCCAGTGGGGAGGATATTCGTGTGAGGTGTGGCAAAGGCCTAGAGCCCCATAGACAGACCCTGAGAAGCAGCTACACCAGCAACCCTGGGGCTCCCGGTACCTGGGGCCTCTGGCTCCTCCAATGCTGACTTCTTATCTCCTCCCACTTCTCAAACTTGCAAACTTGAAAACTTCTCAAACAAGTTAGAGACCTCTCAACTTCTCTGGGGATTCATTTGGTGGGGCTAGCCAGGGAGGCTCTACCAGGCTCACAGTGGGGTGGAAAGTGGACACAGGATGTCCCAACTTACTACGCCCTGGGCCCTTAATGACCAGAGCAAGCACGGTGGCTGAGCTACCTTCCATGCCAGAATTTTCCATGTATATCATAACAGAAAGCTGCAGGTGGATCTCAGCCCTGACAGGGAGCAGAACAGAACTGAGATGTGTTGGTGGCTAACTGGTGGTCAGCTGCCTCAAGGTATGCGACAAACAGAGTCCAGGCCATGTTTAAGTACTTCCACACTCTGTGTGTGCTCTTGGGTGGAGACCCGATCACTCCAAGAATCCACTTTTCCACTGCTGAAACTAGATCCAAAGGAAGAAACAGAAAATGCAAGTAGATATAGGAAGGGAGAAATGGGGGCCTCTCTCATGGACAGATGTCTGTGCAAGGTTTCACTTCTGTGCATGTGAGTGTGTATGTGTATGTGTTTACATGCCGAATATGTTTACATGTGTGTGCAGACTCCTGATGCAGCCTTACCTCCCACAAGCATACAGGTCACAGCAGTAACATGTGTTGCTCCTCACTTTCAGCTGACACCTTCCACTCAGAGAGTAGCAGGTGACCTGTGGTAGAGACAGGCAGGTTCATACTTTATCCTACATAGACAGCAGGCAGCCTAGGTCTAAAAGCAGGGCTGCATTACCAGGACCCTCCCTGGTTCATGGCAGGCTGGGGGGGGGGGCAGAGTTGGGCAGGGCAGGACACAGGATAGAATTAGATAGGGCAGGACTGGGCAAAGCAGGACAAGATATGGCTGGACAGGACAGCACTAGGTAGATCAGAACAGGACTAGGTGAGAATCCCCACCCACATCCCCCAAGCATCTATCATTGACATCTTTTTTCTGGAATGTTCAGCGCATGCATTTTCAACCTTCTACAGGTCTGAAATCCCCACAGCACTAGTGTAGACAGCCCAACTGAGCCACTGGCCAGTGCCCACCTGGGCTGGTCTCATAGGTTAACTGCTGGGAGCACTTGTTCTTCCTGGCATCTCACTCAGCTTAAGAGTGAGGTCACACTACAGCTGTCACCAGCCCAGAGAGAGCCAGAGAGTCCCTTGAACACTGCACATGTGTGATCCCAGTGTTTCATGGCAATGATTAAGTCAGTGAAAATGCTAATTGGAATGCTAATTGACCACACAGAACTGGACAGATGAATCCTAACACTGTGTCAAAGAGGAAAGGGTGCAGCTGTGATTCCAAAGAGAGTGCCACCGTGCATTGAACTGTCACGGACAGCTCCTAGCTTTCAATGACTTGATATCCACACAGCAGGAAGATAGGTGAGAATTAAGACAGCCATTTTAACCAGACCCAGAAGACTTGGGGGATACGGAAACCACGTGGGCCAAAGGGGCTCACCTCTGTCTGATAGACATCATACAAGTACCCGGTCCCACTGGAGTAAAACTGGCACCTTCCTGCGCTGAGAGGTCTTGGTTCCTAGAGAAATAAATGTAGATGGGACAGACTGGTCATCCCCAACCAGGAGTGGTCATTTCAGGCTTGCCTTCCATGGACTGGAGCAGGACCAAGGCCACACCCATTATTGCCTGCATAGCAATTGTGTGTGTGTCGTCCAGAAGGCTGCAGAGGAGAGAATTACAGACACCCTCCATCTACCTGCTGGGCACACACATCAGCACAAGGACAAGGGGAATGCTGCTGAGCGGGCCAAGGGGTGGTCTATATCTCGCCAGAGGCACTAGGCTTCTCTCTTCCTAAAAGAAAAAAATGAGTTTCTTCTACTAGGAAGGGAATAAAAGATTTGGGACTGATTCACTCATCCATCCAAACCACCCATCTATTCACTTAGACGTCAATCATCCATCCATTTTCTTCCTTCCATATGTCATGCCCTACCACTTGACACAAGCTCATCCATTCCTAGCTTACCACGTCCCCACTCCTGTGTCTCCAACATTCATGGATCCAACATAGCATTGAACCACGAGGAAGCCAAGGTAAGCTAGAGCTGTAGGTGAGTGAAGCGGGGCGGAGCAGCAAGTAGGCAATTTCTACAATTGCTAAGGCAGAAGACAGTTGGGGCCTGGGACTTAAAGTGCCATAAGGCCATATAGTCTGTAAATGCTTCTTCGGGTTCATTTTCTGTATCAATGCCATTTCTCAAAGCACTACTCCTGACCTAAGTGGGGTCTAGAAACCACAAGTAATTCTGGCAGCAGACGAAGAGTCATTCACGAGTAGTAGGCAGCAGTTACGGTGGGGCAGAGCAGCTGTGTGCCAGGCTGGGCGTGGACGGATTCAGATGGGACGCAGCCCTATTGGCCCCGGGTGATAGATGAGGGGAGCAGACGTGACAGGTACAGGGAAGGCAGTGAAGACAGGTGGCTGCAGTTGGGACTGGAGAGCTGGCTTCAGGGTCCTCAGACTTGCATGGCCTTCATCACAAGACTCAGATTCCTTCCCCAGTGGATTTTCCAGGGAGAGATAGATGACGGTGTGAAGTGGGATAGAGTCTTCACACCGTCTTCCCAAGTGGTGGCAGCTTAGTGTGTATTCGCATGTGATAACAGTGGCCTCAGAAGCAGACCCCAATGAGTCACCAACAGTCTGGCCACCCACTCCACAGAACTGTAACCGACCGCAGGACACCAGGGGTCTAGACTTTAGGGTGACTGGATGATACTGTGTGTCAGGGCCCAGCCAGTGCTGCTCATGTGGACCCTCTGCTGGACTCTCAACCACACTGGCCACTCCTCAGAGGTCCTGTCCTATCTACACACAAAGTCAGGTACACGGGGATGGGTACAAACAGATGGGCATGCTCAGGTGGTTGCATGCGGCAGGTACACAGACAGATATGCAGACAGACAGACTACCTTCTAGACTCTTCTCATCAGTGAAGCCAGGAAGGATGAGTAGCATCCTTTCACACCTATGGCTGCAGGCAGGAGACTTTACTTACCTGGAGACAGAAGTCTTTGGAAGGTGACTTCTCCCAGACAGGCACCAAAGAGCTGAGAGGGCATGGGACTAAGGAAACCTTACCCTACACAGGGACAGAATCTCAAGGCAAGACAGGCACATTCTTTTGGGAGCACTTTAGTCTATACACCTGTCCAGGGAAGGCAAATGGTCAGATGCCTGAACACCAAACTGCAGGTACTGGGGGAGCTACACGCACCTGTACATACATACATACAGAGGAGTGCATACGTGCAAATGCACATGCACAGAATTCCTACCTGGTTGGTACATATCAAGCCATTCATCATCCTCATCATCCTCATCGTCATCCTCATCATCATGTCACTCACATCTCATATCACACCATATGATGCTACTCATCATCTCCTGTGTCGCAGCACATTGTACCACACCACATTGTGCCATAGTACACATCATTCAGATCACAGCCTACCATGTTGCCACTCCACATCACAGCATGTTTATATCACATGACATCATGCTCTGTCACCTCCTCCTACATCACGGTCTATTTATTCTCTCACACCATAGTCTATACCACATCACGCTGCACACACCATGTTCTATTGTGCCTTTTATATTGTGCCTATTATTCACGCTACAGCACACATCACAACAGAGCATGTCATGTGACATACTCCACGTACTTATTCCTTAATTTGATCTGCTGCATTCAACAGGAAGCCTGGCGGCTCATCATTTGCCTATGGCACCTGGGAACCTGCCTGACCCCATAGCTGCTAAACAGGCGAATAAACACACCTGTTCAGATTAGCTACAGGTCAAACAGATGCAGGCAGGGTTCCCTTCCATGGTCCAGAACTGTTCCACTCACAGGACTCTACATCCTCTTAAAGTCCGTTTCTTACAGATAAGAAGATTTTTCATCTATGTAGCCCCACATTAGCAACCATCTTCGAAGAGAGAACACGGAACTGTAAGCACATGCAAGAGCAAAGTCCGAGATTTCACAGTGCACTTGGCTTTAAGTGCGGTGAGTGTGCTGTGGACAGTCACCTGGACACAGAGCTCCAGAACTGAGGGGGTGGGGACAAGAGTTCCCTAGTGGTTGGGGAGGATTGGGTAGGGGCAGAGGGTAACTGAAATAGTGAGGGATGTTTGTATCTGCTGTGTGTTTGTGCCTGCTGTGTGCGTGTGTGTCTGCGCATGCATGCACCTATTGGGTGTGGTTGTTTATGCTTACTGTATGTGGTTGTGTATGTTTATGTCTGCTGTGTGTGGTAGTGTCTGTTTGTGTCTGCTGTGTGTAGCATGTGTGTTTGTGCCTGCTCGTGTGGTGGGTATTTGTATTTGCTGTGTGTGGCTGTGTTTGTGCCTTCCACATGTGGTGTGTGTGTGTGTGTGTGTGTGTGTGTGTGTGTGTGTGTGTGTGTGTGTGTGTGTGTGTGTGACCTGTGGGAGGCAGAGGATTGGAGTTGCTGGAGCCAGACTCGGCAAGAAAAGGAAGGACAGCCATGGCAGCTGAGCTGAAGCTGGTGTGAAGATGTCGGAGTCGGGCTCTGTAACTGAAATTTTGTTTCCCACGTGTGCACTGAGCCCTAGAGATAGACTGTGCGCCAGTCAAAGTAGTACTCACAATGTGCCGTGCTGCGAACACGCCATCGACTATGGCACAGCAGAATGCCGCCACGACACCAAAACTGATGAACACGATGGCCGCCACCAGCTAGGAGGAGAAGATAGAGGAGTGTGGGGTTTTAACCTAAAAACAGCCTGGGACACAATCAGAGTTGTGGATGTTTGTGGCGCCCTGGCCAGACCACCACCGCTTTAATTCCACCCACCAGTGACTCAGCCACATACTCGCCCACCGGTCCACTCTGTGGGTTCCGTATCATGAGACACAAGGGGCAACCACTGCATGAGGTATACTCTCTGCCCTCACCTCTTCTCACCCAGCTGCACTGTGCCCCATTTCCAGACACATGAGTACTTGCCCTGGGCCTCCAACAACTGGATTCATTCTGCACCATCCCAGCCTGCAGGGGCTGAGAGTCACATCTGGTCACAGGTGACCGAGTACCTGCCCGTGGTATCTAAACTATCTACTGTAGATTCCAATATATATACAATATATAAAAATGTATGGGTTCAGTTTCTGTAGGATAAATTCCTTGAATATACATTAACACGGTACTTTGACATGCAGCATATTTAGGTTCTTTGCACTCTAAAATTTTAACAAGGAATGCTACACTGTCCTATGAACACACTTAGCCATTGACAATAGAATGTCCACTTTCTTGCATACAGAACAACATGAAATTGGTGCTAAAAAAGATATTTGCCTCAATTTACATTTCTGACTAATATTTCAATTTATACTTCTCTGACTATGAGACTGAAAACCTCCTTATATTTGTTGACCACATTTATCTTCAGTTTTTCTTGTGACACAGTTCCAGATTAACCAAACAAACAAGAAAACAAACTCAGAGGACCCCTGGACCTGAGTGTGGTAGTGCACTCATAACCCCAGTGCTCAGGAGGATGAGGCAGAAGGGTCGTGAGTTCAAGGCCTCCGCTACCCAGTGAGATCCTATCTGGAAAGAAATCAACCTGCATTTCATTCCTGGGAGTGCCCCCCCCCCCCCCCGCCAGGTATTTATAACTTCTTTGTTTGTTTGTTTGTTTGTTTGTTTTTCAAGACAGGGTTTCTTTGTGTAGCTTTGTAGACCAGGCTGGCCTCAAACTCACAGAGATCCACCTACCTCTGTCTCCCAAGTGCTGGGACTAAAGGCGTGTGCCACCACCACCCAGCTTATTTATAGCTTCTAAAACATGTGTGAGCCCTGCACTTCCCGCCACCCCCAGCAGGAGAAATCTGTTCAATGTGTGGGTTTATTGCTCAGTCCTGGGAGTTGCATTAAGTCTTTGTGACTAACCAGCCACAGGGGAGAGAGAAGGACGACCACCAAGAAATAGCAAGCAAAGGCCAGTCATGGTGGTATACATCTATGATCCCCGCAATGGGAGGCAGATGGTGGTGGATGCCATGTGAGTTCAAGGTCAGCCTGGTCTATATAGTGAGTCTGAGGCTAGACCAAGTTAAACAGTAAGGCTCTGTCTCAAAGGGAAAGAAAAGGAGGAGAAAGGAGGAAGGAAATAGCCAAGTATAGCAAGCCACAAGCAGCTCTCTCTTTAGCCTCGGGGGTAGTGTCAGAATTCTTAGGCATGGGGTTGGTCCTTGCACTGGTAATATAGCTGAACCCTGGTGTCCTCTGCCACTCTGTCCTCACTCAACTCAGCTTTTGTTCGACATGAACCCAAAAGTCAGAACTCTGCTGGAAGGAAGGTAAGATCAGAGGCCTCCTCCAAGGTTGCCACCCAAATCCTCCTGTGTGTGTGACCTGAATCCTGATGTAGTCACCCAGCTTCGCAACCAACTGAGCCACAGCAGCATCTGGAGTGCTGCTCACATCCTCTTCTCAGCCTCCAGAGCAGCAGATCAATCAACAAGCAGTCACCAGGAGGCCAAGAGCCTTGGAAACAGATCTCAGCCCAACACCGGAATGCACAGCATGGTGGAGACCCATGCCAGTTGCCTAGGGAAACTAGTCTCCTCTCATAGGGAACTAACAAGATGCGTCACATGCATGCCTGGGGCATGACCATCACGACTTCACACGGCCAGTCTGTCACTTCCACATCCTCCATCCATGTGAATTACACACTCATGAAGCTCCCTCTCCATCCTCCACACTGCCACCCACCCAGTCACAGCCATCAGTCACATGGTTTCACAGCCAACCCTGCCACCTGGGGACAACAAAACACACCTCACAGAGACAACTTGGAGCCTATCCCAATGGGAACATCTCATTCTGAAGCCTCTGGGGCTACCATGCCACCTTTGACCAATGCCGGCTGCTCTCCACAGTTCCTGCCAGCCAACCAAGGGGTCTATCCCAACCAGCACTCTGTCCTCTTCATCCTCCAGGTCTCCAGTCATCCCAAAACCTGAGGGCCGTGTTGTGATAGCGGGAGGAAGCGGCAGCATTAAAGAGGCTAAGCTCAAGTACTAGACAAGAGAGGCAAGCGGGCAGCGCACCACAGAGGCTGAGGGCAGGTGGGTTACCCACACACCTGGTCTCTAACCCCATCAGTCCCCACCACAAGCACGGTTACCCGGCAGCACTGGGGCTGTGGTGGGAGCTGTTCCAGGTGCTGAAAAAAAGTGACCGCACAAAGGCTGCCTGCTTTCTGAAGCAAGGTCTGGAGAACCCAGCCCTTCCAAAAACAGAGCCACGGCTGGGCACCCCTGTGTCCCATGTACAGGAAGCCAGCATTTCTGCTCTGGCCACAAATTGCCACAAGAATTTTCTGTTTCAGAGTGACAGTGCTGTTCCTCCCAGTCACAGAAGTGTCATCTTGAGTCGGTTGGATGCTGAGAACTACTGAGTGAAGGGAACATAGGAAGGGAGGGGATGATGCTTAGCAAAGCTGGGCAGGCACAGAAGCCCTCTCCAGGGAATGTCACTCATCCTCCTCACTGTAGGAGAGCCCTCCCTCTGAGTCTTTCTTTGGTTTCCACTGGAGATTGTCATAATAATAGGCAGAGATAACGGTGAAATCATTTCTAATTAGATTCCACCCTCAGAGTGGACAGATTGGAGCAAGGACAAATGGAGTAAGTGTCTGGGACTTGCCTCAGCCTCCCACGGGAAGTCCAGAAGGAACCAGAGATGGGCTCTGAACTGGCTGAGAGGTGATGGGTGTACATGGGGGTATTGTGCTAGTCTACTTTTGCATATGTTTAAATTTTTTCTACAGTACAATTTTAAAATAAAGGGAACCCAAAAGAAAAGCATTTTGCACAGCTAAACATAGCTATCCTCTCCTTGGCTGAAGCTGCCCGCCTGATGCCATTCCCTGGAACAACCTAAATGCCCCCCCGAGATACAAAATAGTGGCCCCCATTTCTGAATGCTCATTGCAGATACTCTGAGTACCAGCCCTGCCCCAGACAGCACTGAAGTCCAGAGTGGCTCAGTTCCCTAGTACTACAGCACTTATGGTGGGCTCAGGTGTAAGGTGTCCAATACCATTTTTTAATTTCCTTAGTAGGCTTCCCACAGGCCCACAGGCTATTCAGTCTCAGGTTCTCGGCCAGTTGATCAGTGTCAGGTAAATAGATTCCATCTCATGGAATGGACCTTAATTGTTTTTTTAATGGTTGGTTACTCCCATGACACATGTACCACTATTATACCAGTATATCTCACAGGCAGATCACTGTTGTAGGTCACAGGGTTTATAGCTGGTGGTATCAATGATTACGTTCCTCCACCAGGACCATGCAGAGGACCTTCTAGCACCATGAAGGCCAGTCAGCAGGGGTGAAGCTTCCAGCTGTGCACAAGTAAGGTACCCAATCATAAATGTGTGTTAGACTGAAATGTGTGCTTGTTATACAAGGGCAGAAGCAAGAGTATGCAGGAGCCACACACAGCCTATCAGGAGAATCTAAGGACGTGGGGGACCAACTCCACTTGTCCACTGGGGGACCTACCTGCTGCCCTTGACACTACATCGTCTCTGAATCTTTATGCTCAATCTGCCAGGCCCAGAGGAGCCATGGTCAGGGTTTCTGGACTCCACCAGGAAAGGTAAAGCTGCTCCCTGCAAGGTGACACATTCTTGCAGACACAATCCCAAGGAATCCACTGAAAAGCTATCAGAAACAACAAATGAGCTCTATGCCTTGCAGGCTGGGAATGAACTTAGCAAAAGCCACATAATACCCTTTGATGAATAAAACTAGGAATAACGTTAACAAAGTTAACAAGATAACCAAAAACATTTGTGAAAGAAGTTTAAAAAAAAAACATGCCAGACAAATGGGGAATGGTTGTATTCCTGGGATTGAGCCCTCTGCCTTCTGCCTTAGCACCGCACATTTAGCACGGTCCCTACCAGAGATCTTGCTGTGAAGATTCAACCCATGATAATTACAAGGGATCTTGCTTAAGCCGAACAACCTGGAAATGCAGAACAAAGCCGGAAGACTCATATCCTGATTGCAGAGAGTATGACAAAGTTGAAGAAAACAAAATGGTGTGGCTCATAGGCAGACTCATAGACCAGTGGGGCAGAACCAAAAGCCCAGAAACCAGCCACATACTTACGGTCAGATGACTGACAGAGGCACCAAGCCCATTTGATGGAGAAAGAACAGATTCCAATCTCTCATGCATCACATCCAATCTGTCAGCCCAGCTAGGTCCTACACATCTTGCACAAGAGCCAAGCCAGATAGCTAGCCCTCAGCCCTCAAAGAAACTTGTCTTTGCAACAGATGGACAACTGTTCAAAATGCAGAGAACAAGAAGTCATGAGGTTACTAGCTCTGATTGATACTTCTACAGCACAACTCCTATACCTAAGGCTTGAAGAGCATCATGGAAGAGGGAGCAGAAAGATTGCAAGGAAAGATTCCAGAGGGCCAGGAAATCTACTGTGAGACTGTGTCTCCTAGAAACAACAGCAGAGCTTCACCCATGGTACCTCAACAATATGGCTGCTTAGACAAGACCTAAAAAAGTATACCAACTTAGTTTTACAACAATAATTCACAACAGTTCACCAACAAATATAGTCTACAGTCCTCTGTACTACTCATGGCAATTAATACTCTATGAACTTGGACAAACATCATCTAAATGTCTACTATTGTGTTGGTCTGGATAAGAATGGCCCCCCATATGCTCATATTTGAATGCTCAGTCTGCAGTTGGTGAAACTACTTGGAAAGGATTAGAGGTGTGACCTTGTTGGAGGAGGTGTCTCTCTGAAAGTAAACTTTCAGGTTTCAAAATCCCACACCATCCCGTCAGCTCTCTCCCCCCACCACCAACACCACCACCAGGTGTTTGAGGATAGGATGTAAGCTCTCAGCTACTTCTCCAGCACCATGTCTTCCTGTGTCTGCTGCCATGCACCCCGCCATGATGATCATGGACTCAACTCTGAAACTGTAAGTGAGCCACCAATTGGCAGTGGCCATGTCAGAGGAGCTGCAGTCAGCCATGGAGCTCATAGAGTACAGCTCACCGGATAGCGCGGCTACTATGGGTGTAGCCTGGAGAGGCAAAGCCCTGGGGAATGGTCTCCAGAATGCCCCTTGCTTCTGCTGTGCCTTCTCCTGCCTGCTGCTGTCCTGTTCCTACTGTATCTGGCGAGGTGTGATTGCTATGTGAGAGAATCCCACTCTATCGAGTATACTGTGATTAGTTCATGGGAAAGTCCCACTCTTCACTGGGCAGTTTCCTTGCAGATCATAATGAACATGATTTTTATGAGCAATGATGCTTAGTTAGATCAATGATTTAAAGATACAGGTGGTTAGGACAGTTAGTGAAGATGATTAGGGAAATGGTCTAGGTTATTCTGCCAATTGTTCCAATAAGAGACACGAGAAAAATAAAAATAAGGCTAGCAGTCAACTTCCTTTTTTCCTAGATGTAAGACTTGCTGAGGATGAAAAATAAGAACAAGGAAGTTTCATGCATTGTAGACCCAGGAATTCTGCCTGTGGGAAAACAGGCTGATGATCAAAGAAAGCAATTATGTCCCTACACCCAAGGTTAGGTCCGAGTTCCTTGATCATGTAGCTTACAGAATTAATCACAGGCTTCGGTATACACCTTGAAAAAACAAAGTTATGAAAGAAAATTAGATGACCCCATTGTGTGTAAAGAAAAAAATAAATGGTTAGAGACCACTTGAGTAAAGTTTTGTAGAGTAGAAATAGGAATCTGCTACAATGAAAGGGCAGACAGCTGCCTGCTGGTGCAAAGGAACTGGCCGAGATATACTCGGCTTGCTTAAAACTTTGCTAATCAATAATAAAAGGATCATTGCTTTGGGATGAAGATGTTATGGTGGGAGAAATAATACAAAGGAAAATGATTAACTACTTGTGGGCCTCTAAGAAAAACATGTAATGTGATCATAATATGATTTCTTCCTTGTAAAGATTTTCATTTGTTTCTGGAAAATATGTAATGTGTGGTTGTCAGGTAATTTCTTCTTGCACGGAAGTTTTTGTCTTAAGTGATATAAAAGGGATAAGAGAAAAATGAATAGACAGGAGGAGAAAGAGAAAACTAAAATGAAGAATTAAGTTTTACACCCCCCCCCAGGTAAGTCTGTGTGTTCATTAGCACCCGCTCCACCATCTCAGGTAAGTCTGTGTGTTTAATAGCGCCCGCTCCACCATCTCAGGTAAGTCTGTGTGTTTAATAGCATCCGCTCCACCATCTCAGGTAAGTCTGTGTGTTTAATAGCATCCGCTCCACCATCTCAGGTTAGTCTGTGTGTTTAATAGTGCTGACTCCACCATCTCAGGTTAGTCTGTGTGTTTAATAGCACCCGCTCCACCATCTCAGGTTAGTCTGTGTGTTTAATAGTGCTGACTCCACCATCTCAGGTTAGTCTGTGTGTTCATTAGCACCTGCTCCACCATCTCAGGTTAGTCTGTGTGTTTAATAGTGCTGACTCCACCATCTCAGGTAAGTCTGTGTGTTTAATAGCACCCGCTCCACCATCTCAGGTAAGTCTGTGTGTTTAATAGCGCCCGCTCCACCATCTCAGGTAAGTCTGTGTGTTTAATAGTGCCCGCTCCACCATCTCAGGTAAGTCTGTGTGTTTAATAGCACCCGCTCCACCATCTCAGGTAAGTCTGTGTGTTTAATAGCACCCGCTCCACCATCTCCTCTCCAGGTTCTTCCACCTGCTGAAGCTTGACTGCAGCAACCAAGTAAATGTTTTCTTCTCTAAGTTGCCTTAGTTACGGTGTCTCTTCACAGCCATAGAACAGTAACTTTGTTTCTAAGATCTGACCCCAACATCCCCGGCTCTGCTTTTATCTCTGCTTCTCTCTGTTCCCCAGTGGGGTACGCTCATTTAGAGCAAGCTGTGGAGTGGCACCAACTAGGTCCGGAGTCGTGGGGTGTATAGTATATCGAGTCCAGGGGTTTCAGAAGAATGTGGAGAGGAAACCCCAGCTGTGACTGCAGCATCCTGTATTGAAGGACCAACACTCCCACAACCCCATGTGGAAAGAGACGTTTCTTACCATTTGTCTTCTATTCTCCACCAGGTGGATGCCAATGATTCCCAGGAAGGACCCAAAGCCCAGCTGAGATGAAAAGAACAAGAGAGACGTTTGGTTAGCATCATCCTGACCCATCGCAGTTAACAATGCCCCTGTGCAGGCGAGATAGCTCGGCACGTGAAGGCACTTGCTTGCAAGGCTGATGACATGAGTTCAATCCCCAAGACCCACAGGACAGAAGGCAAAGAATCAATCCCCTGACCTCCACACGTGTACCATAGCATACATTCCACCCTCCCAAGCTAAGTAAATATAATTTTTAAATATTTACTAATTCCCCTTAATTTACTTACTTTACTAATAACCCCTTAAAATGTTTTTTGTCTACTTGGGTATGTTAACTCATAACCTATAATCCGAGCACTTGGGAAGCTGAGGCAGGAGAATGGCCAACTTGAGGTAACAAATGACAATGTCTTTAAAAAAACAACTAAAAATAAAACTAAATACTTTGTCGGGAGAAGAGTGTGGCCACTCCCACCGTAGGAAGCACCACATGGCATGGAGTTGCTTTCCCTAGAAAGGTTTAGCACACCCACCAAAGCCTGCTGGTGGGATAGACAGAAGCTGATGCTTCCATGAGATCAGTCCAACTTTTGGTCACAGGACTCCATCTTGGTACACCTTTGTAGGGACCTCACACTGAGCTTCTGACACGCCCTCTCCAGCCAGCCCAAGAAAGATGGAGAGAAATTTGGCAGCTGGGACATGTATGGTGTTTCAGCAGAGGAGTTGTTAAGAACAAGACCCTGCCCACACTAGAGTCTTCAGATTGGATGTGGAGAAAGGCAGGATGGAGGTTTAGGGTCCAGGAGCTCTCCTAGATGGAGACACAGTTGGGTGTTAGGGTCATATGCTTATACCTGTCCTCATCTTAAAGCTGGGGCATCAGGCCCAAGTTCCAGCTCTGTATACACCGCTCTGAGCCTGTGCTGGTCTGAGGGGTCAATTGCTGGCCCAGGAGGCCCTGCCCATCTAGTCTCTGAAGAATGGTATCTCTCCAAGTACTGAGCTTCTGAAGGCCACACTCCTTGCCCACAGTTCACAAATGTCAGACTTAGACTAAATTTGTTATTTTTTGGATGTGAATTTTTTTTTTTTTTGCCAAAATGATGAGTTTTTTTCATTTCCAGGCTGCTCTCCCCGAGATAGCCAGGACTCCTCAGCTCTATTGTATAGAGTGTCTCTCTGACCTGACTTTTACTCAGATTTCTCTAATTTCACTATCATCTCCATGACAATACAAAGTCTGAGACAAAGCTAATTCTGGTTAATATAGTGTTAGTTCATCCCCCAGGAAAACATCTCCTTGTGTATTACCCTCAGAAGTACTGTTGGAATGTAATCGTGTGGTGATTAGCTTTATCAGCTTGTCACAACCTAAAGACACCTGGGGAAGGAGTCTCAGTGAAGGGCTGTCTACATCGGGTTGATGTGGCCATTGTCTTTAGAAGACTGACTTAAGATAGCTGATGTGGGAAGACTCAGCCCACTGCGGGCCGATCTTCATATTTTTCTGAGAATTTGAGATGCTGTACCCTGTGGGAGCCCGTTTTCAGGTTCCTCCTGGCTTTACCCAGCAGGCCATCATAGAGAGGATGATTGGACCACGGGCCTGAGTGCAGGTGTCTGAAATGGTCTGCACTTGGCTGTGCTGGGGGAGGTCTTTTGCTCCACCCCTTGGCATCTCTATAAATACCCTGGGGAAGAGACGGTCAGAGCCCATTAGAATAGGTTCCAGGCCCTCTCAAGGCTATCCTTTATTTTCTATCTGTTTACCTCAGCAATATAAATCCTTCTAATATTTCCTGCTGCTCGTACTCAAGAAAACTCTGGGGAACTGTAGGGTTGGTGGGTAAACGCCCCTAATACCCTCTAGCTCCTGAATTTTAGGATTCCCTCTTTGCCCAGGGAGTGTGGCAGAAGAAGCTTATGTAAGGCCAGCATCTCTGGAATGCACTTCATTCAATGTTACAGGACCACTTTTCCTGCATGGACACTTTTTACACAGTCATCTGTGGATTACACTCAGGCAGATAACACGATTCACAAGGTGTGTAAATACAGACCAATCTAAAGATAAAATGAACAGTAAAGCAGGTTTAGATCCTGAGGGCCGAGAGACCTGCCTTGCTGATGTCACTGATGCTGTCACTGGAGTCATTTGCCCTTTTGTGAGAAGTGAGAAGCCAGCACAAATGTACACTTCTCCTTGTTCTCATGGTGGCATTGTGAACAACGGCTTCAATGTGTGACCTCCCCACGGGGCTCTCAAAACCACAAGCCCATCTTCCAGGAATTAGGTTGGGGTTGCTGCATGTGTTAATGTCATGGGGCAGCAGGGTTGGACCTCCAGGGATCTGACAGTGTGTTATCTCTTCAGACTTCCACAGGCTCTGACCGTTCTCAGCCTCAGACCCCTCCCCACTTCACCATGGAAAATTATGTGGCCCTGAATTCACCCTACCCTCGACAAGTCACACTCTTCTCCTGCCCCCTCTACTTCCAAGGCCCTGTGACAACACTGGCCCGCCAGCATGGTGCAAGACAATGGCCTAGCTTAGGGCCCTCTGACCAGCAGCCCTCAGTCCTCCCTCTTTGCTAAACGCTCTCCAATACTAAGCATTAGGCTGGGGTCATTTTTCCTGGGACTCTGGCCCCCTCCCACCATGGATCAACAGAGAATGTGTCTCTCTGACATAGAACATAGTCCACATAGAACACTGACCATCCTGACCAGCCCCCCATAGGCCCTTGACTCACGATGATCCCTGGGTAGTAGCCGCCCACGGTCACATTCTCTGTCCTGGTGGTGGCAGCAAGACCGATGGTCAGGATGAGCGTGGACACCAGCAGCAGAGAGCCCACAAACCACAGAGAGATCTTCCTCCTCCTTCCAAAGCCCTCTGTGAGGAGGAAAAGAGGGGGGTAGTGAGCCGGGTGCTGATTACCCACTCTGTTCCAGACCCAGTTATTAGGAATCACGTGAGCTCCACACCTGTCCTCTATCAACAATGGGGAAACCTGGTCCCAGCTGTGCCAGGCAGGCGAGCAGCCTGTCCGCTCCCCGCTCCTCGATGGTGCTGAGCATAGTCAGGGGTCACGGCCTGAGGCTGCAGAGTGGCTTGTCTTCATCCATCTCAAGTCCAAGGAGAGAATGACTTCATGGGGAATGGAGGAGGTGCCATAAGTGTCAGAGGCAGCTGTGACCCAGATGTGGCCGCGGGGGCTCCTGGGTGTGGACCTCCCCACCCGGCCAGAAGGTTGCACGTGCAGCCGCAGGCTGTGAGACTGAGCTCTGCCCATGCTACAGCTCAGCAGAGGTTGTTGGACTCACGGAGCATTTCAAAGGCACTGCTGCTTGCTGGGCCTTTGTCCTGCCTCCTGCCTGAGATACAGATACAATGGTGGGGCCCTGCAGCCACTTTGGACTAGGACTTTGGAGTGCAGTCGCAGGCAGAGAACATCAGAGAGGAAATACCACTGAGTATCAATCTCCAGCCTTCCTCAGACAAGCCTGAGCACCGTCAAGTGCTCCTCTGGACGGCCTGCTCTGTGCAGCTGAACTCCAAGTGCTGCCCAGCTCTCAGGAAAGGCCTCGGCCTCCACTGGACCTCTTGGATCCAGCTTTTCCGCTGACTGCCAGACACACCTGCCTCCCCTAATGGCTTCACAGCCACACACCTGAACCACAGGCGACGGCTAAAACCGTAGTGAGAAAACCACGTTCGGCTCTGATCCAGCCAGGCATTTGACCAAGTCCCTGCGCACAGAAGTGTGGTGGAAGGAACGTCTGATGGGCTTCGTGACCCCAGAGTCCTAGCGAGTCAACATTTGAGTGTGGATACACCTGCGACTGTGTGTACTCACGTGTGCCTCTATGTGCGTACACACAGCACAGTGCCAGCTTCATCAGGAAGTGGCTTGCCTACCCAATCACATCCCCCTTTCAAATGACCACTGCCTCTGAACGGGCAACTCTTCACGCTCCGAGAAGTTCCCATCTGAGGATTTCACACATCTTTGATCCGACCAGTGAAGCTTAACACAAGTCAAGGTTATGACCCCCCAAGAAAGGGATTGTTACAAACTTGAGACATAAATTCTCAAAGAGCTTCAGATGACTTCTCACACTCCCAGTGACTCAACTGACTGGAGAAAGTCATTTTTATCTGGCTGACCCAGCAAGGGCACATCTCCACGAGTAAGACCTCATTCCAGGGGCTCTGCTCATCCCTGTTCAGCCTTCTCACCCTTCTCCAGACCAGAGTGTGACAGGTGTCTTCTCAGAATCTTATCCTAAATCGCCCTTCATCCCCGGAGGGACCAGACCTACCATTCCCCAACACAGTAATCACTGGCTCCCGGGAGGGGGCAAGCGTTGCCCTCCACCTCAAGTCTCACTGCTTCTGAGGTCCCCAAGGAGTCATAGAGGATGGAATTCCTGTTGGCCAGGCTCTTTAAGTCCTGGCCTCAAATATGGGTCAGTTTCTCCTTCCCACTCCCATTCCTCTTTTTTTTTTTTTTTTTTTTTTTTTTTTTGCCTCTGAGAGGAAGGTTTATGTCCAGAGTCCATGGGGCCCTTGTATCTGCCTCAGCTCACCCTATGGGCTTACTTGAATACCACCTGCAGAAACACCACACACGTTCACTCACCCCTATGCTGCTTCCTACTCATCCTCACACTCATTCCCCAAATTCCCCATCCCCCGTTTAACTGAGCATTCATTATGTACAGATGCTTCCAAACCCCAGACACACTGCCGTGAACACGAGGTGAATCCTGCCACCGTTGGGAGCTTTTGGTCTTGGGAGAGAAGACCCACAGATATAAGATGAGCCACAGTACACGTAGGATTTATAAAGTGCCTAATTCAGTAGAGAAATGAAGCAGAGCCGGGGGACAAGAACTCAGGAAGGAGTGTGGAAACACCTCCCAGGAAATGGGGCCCGAGGTGTTTGGGAGCAGGTCCAGCAGTGGGTCCAGATGGCCCTGAGAAAGCCCTGAAGTTGGTGGTGGCAAGTGGGCAGCCTGGGAGCTGAAGGAATAGGATCTGGAGAGGCTACTGTAGTCAGGTCAGCAGGAGGGAGAAACTCTAATTCCACTTTCTCCTACATCCACAACCTCTGAGTAAATTTAGAAGAAGCAAGGTAGGCTGAATGGAATCCACCCTAGGTGGCTCAGGCCTCTGAAGGAGTGAGGGTGGGCTAGCAGGAGGCAAAGGGAACACCCTTCTTTGAAAGCACCAGGAACAGGGCAGAGAGCACCGTGCACTGAACACCCTTGGCAGAACATGGGAGAAGCATGCTTTGAAGCAGAAAGCAGCTCCTGGCTTCTCCACAGTGTCCACGGCTCCACCAAGAGCTGGCCAGCACCTGCAGACACTCAGTCTCAGGAGCAAGCCGCCTGAGGTAGGATGGGCCTAGCTACCACCTGGTCATACCTGGAGCTCGGTCCTACCTAGCAAGCAAGTGCTAATGTAGTGAACTATGTAGCGAACCCTTTCTCACCTAAAGGGCTTTACTTTCCCCTTTTTTTCCTAAGTACATCACATGCCAATTGTATTCCAAACAACTAAGAATGCCCCAGAATGGCTGAGATCTGGGTGGACCCTTCTGCAGAAACATCTTTCACCTGAGGTGGCACCAGCCCACAGCACCCTGGATCATGTCCTCCTCTGTGCTGGGTCATTAGCATGACATCCTAGGCTGGGGGCACTTAGCATTGTTGAGCTAACGGTTTCTGACCTGAACAAAGCCACTTGGCAAAAGGTCAGGCTCTTCAGATCATGCTCTCAGCTGTTCATATCCTTGAATCAATTTGCCTTCTTACTCAGTCCTTTCCTGAGTCTGTCTTACTACCCCCCCCTAGAGCAGTGGTTCTCAACCTCCCTAAAGCTGCAACCCTTTAATACAGTTCCCAATGTTGTGATGACCCCCAATCATGAAATTATTTTTGTTGCTACTCCATGACTGTAATTTTGCTGTTATGAACCATAATGTAAATATCTGATATGCCGGATATCTGAGATGCAAGCCTTGTGAAGGGGTCACTCGATACCCCCAAAGGGGTCGCAATCTACAGGTTGAAAACCACTGTCCTAGAGTATTCCATAATAAAAAAAACCCAGAGACATGAGCTAGGCCAGTCTGCCAGCATTTCTGTCCACAGTTCCCAGGTATAACAAGGTCTGGAAAGTTGCATGGTGCTGGACCGGGCAGTTGAGCATCACTTTCCAACTACTTGGCTGGGAATTAATGGATTCTCCGCCAGACAGACAGGGGGATCGATTGTCCTGCTCAAAGTGCCTTTTATAAATACATCTGAATACACAGTACAGCAATAAACAGAAGTTAAAAAAAAAAAAAAACAAGCCCAAGACCAGAAGGTGAAGGGATCTCTGAAATCCCCAGATGCAAGCATTTCTACATCAGGGCTTTTCACTCATGACAGATATCCAGACAGTTACTGCACCATCTCCCTCCATCCTTTATCCCATCAACAAAGTGCTGTTGTCCTGTGCCTAGACAGTGCTAATTAAACCACTGCTACCTAGTTACTGTGGGTGATGACTGCACTCAAGCCCACGAAGAGAAGGCGGCCAAGCAGGGCCATGCCTCTCACTCTCAGGATGCCAGTGTCCAGCTCAGAGTGGGAGGAGGAGATTCCACCCGGTGTGAATAAGTGAAAGACTTCCCTTGGGTGGAGACAGAAATGTTAACAACCCGGTAGACTGAGCCTATGAGAAGGTCCCCAGAACCTGTCTGTGAAAGTTGTCCTACTCATTTTAAAAGCACATGGAATATTCTGCGGGTGCCACTGAGCCAGCGGGTAGGTACTTTCTCAACTGTTTAGAGCTTCTGTCTACTTAGCTGCAGGATGCCCTCCACACACACACCTCAGCGTGCCATCTAGCCATTTTCTACCCACCCATTCCTAACCCATCCCTGCCTCACCCCTCATTTCCAAATGCTGTCCTCTTTTCCAGGCTTCTGCCTGTCTTGGCCGAACTGCCGACTCGGGCACTCATAGTTCCACGTGGTCTGCCCAGAAGGTTCAGGCACTGACAGACAGCAGGCAGACTGTGCTCTGTACTAGACCATGTTCCCCACTTAACTGAGACAGGAAGAGATACCCCAGCCCGGAGGATAAGACTCAGCAGGGCTCTTCATCATGATCTTGATGCCTATAGGACCTGAACCCCCAGAATGAGGTTAATCCTCTGGGGTCTCATGTGATGGCCTGTGTCTATGGTCTCGGGTACTGGGGATGCTGAAGGAAAAGGATCATTTGAACCTGGGGGTTTGAGACCAGCCTAGGAGATCCCATGAGGCCATATCCTGTAGCAGAGGCAAAGAGTGCCCCAAGTAGGCGATCCCACAAGGGCATATCCTATAGCAGAGGCAAAGTGACCCCAAGTAGCACAGAGCTGGGCACTGCTCAGTCACCAGGTTCTGATTTTATATCTAACACTGCTCCAAGCTGTAAGCAAAGCAGCATCGACATGTAACAGTCACAGCCTGGAGCCACCAGGCCATTAGTCGCTTTTAAGACTGTCTCAGTAAAAGACTCCCACAGACCACTTTAAAGTCTGGAACTCCTTATCGGAAGAAAAGGGTAAAGCCAGAAGCTGCTGCTGTTAATCACCAAGTCACCCTAACATGACAGCAGTGGCAGCTGGTGACAGAATAGCTGTCAGTCAATACTAGCTAGCTAGGAGCCGACTGGAGAATGAATGACCACAGAGCATCTGGCCTTAGAGAGGAGCGTGCACAGAAGTCTCTTCAAAGCCAGATTCCTTCATTATTATTTAACAACACTACCAATCTAGTTTCTGAAGACTCCCCTAAAGTGTCTCAGTGAAGGGTGGAGGCTATCACTTGGGTTCTTAATGATGGGTCTGCTCTGAAAGCATCCTTCAGAGTCCTCCATCCCCCACCAATCCTTTAATCGCGTGGCAGAGGGTCACGCAGGGTTAGAAAGTCCTTTAAGTCTCTCCCACCCTCTGCCCTCCTGGAACAATGCCTGGCACCCCTCCAAGGCCTGACTGCTTCCCAGAGGCGCACCTAAGCCCAAGTGGCGGGAGCCAGAGCCTGCAACAGGTTTCCTGGTTTCCCAGAAGGACCTGGCTTCAGCTGCTTCGGGCTTGGTGTGGGAAATCAAACAGTTAGAGATGGAGTGGCTGGGTAGTGAGGTGGGTGGAAGCCCTCGCTGCCACCAACAATACCAAAATGCCCTGAGCACCGTTCTCTCTCTCAGGCAGGACGCGCTCCCTGGTTCTTTCAAACAAACATTTCCCAGAAAAGTTTAGAAAGTGAAATAAATACAGTGGGACTGGAAAGGTGGCGATCTGGGACAGCACCACTTAGAAGAACCCGGGTCCGTTAATAAAAAGATAAGAGTAGCGGACAGAAACAGAATGGTGTGGAGCATAGACTGATGTGCAGCAGAAAGATGACGCACCTGTGGCCCGTGCCACATGAACTCAAAGTTCAAGAAACCAGCCCTGAATCCCCAGCCCCAACCCCAAGCGAGTCCGGCACCCAGAGCCCTGAGCTACGCCAGTAGTTCCCCTATTAGAGGAGTTAGAAACTCCTAACCCAGCTCCTGGGCCCCCAAATTGCCCGTCGGTGGTAGAGATACCCACCTGTGGTATCCAGCAGAGCCAGAGGGCCAGACACAGGCGGCGGGAGCGGCTGCATTCCCGAAGTGCCCTCCGCTGGGAGGGCAGCGCTGAGCGGCCACTGCTCCTTCTGTCTGGTTAGGTTTCAGGAGGCCCAGGAGCAGCCCCAAGAAGCGCAGCCCTGTATCCGCTGTCCTCTACTCCACGGACACTTCTTCCTCCCTCTCCTTCTGTCTTCCTCTCTCCTTTGGTCATTTCCCCTCTCCCTCCACCGCCACCCTTCTGCCCCCTCCATCTCCTACACCTCCCTTCCTCCCTCCTAGGTCCTGGTGCCTGTGGCTCCTCCTCCGTTTTCTCTCCTCCTCCCCCTCCCCTTCCTCCTCCCCCTGTTCTCTTTCCCTTCCAGTCTCCAGCCCTTGGAAATCAGAGTCTAGGAAAGGACCCTGAGCTTCCGCTGCCAGAGATAAAAGACAGACCCACTGAGGAGGAATGTACCTAGAGAAATACTGTGGGCTGCTGGCCTGAGCCCAGCCCTCCATCAGAGGTGGCCACGGACCGAGAACTGGATGGCCCAGAGAAACAGAGAAACGCAGCAGGTGCAGACCAGGGATTCTACACAGGTGCTGGAGAGTTCTCAGCTCCTGGCTCCTTCAGACCCCCGTGAGCTGAGCCCTCCCACGTCAGTCATTAAGAAAATGTGCTGCAGATGTGCCCATGAGGGATAGGATGGAGACGTTTTTTCTCAGTGGAGGTTTTTCCCAGGTTACTGTAGCTCTGTAGCTTGTGTCAAGTTGAAAAAAAAATAATAAAATAAAATAAGACAAGACTGGATACCATGCATAGCAGCAGGGAGTCTTTTAAAGAATATGAATGTATTGTTAAAAAATATTTTGAGAATCAAGAGTATAGCACTCCATGGTAGAATGTTTACATAGCTCGTAGCTCCATGATAGAGTGTGCACATAGCTCCATGGTAGAGTGTGCTTACATGGCTTGTATGGTATGCAGGAGGCCACAGGCTTGATCCCTAACGGCAAAAAAAAATAGAGACAAGGGAAAGGAAGGAGGGTGCTTGAGAGAGTGATGGAAATCAACCTCTCCTCCCCAAGGAAGGCACTTGAATGCTGTTTCCTTAGTGAGACACAGTTGAGGACGATTAGGTCATTTGGGGCAGGCTGAGTAAAGGCTGCTGTGGGAAGGAGGGGAGGGGCTGCAAGAAACAAGAGGGTGGACGGGACATAGCCCAGTTAGGTTTCTATCGCTTCACTAAAGAGGCCATGACCAAAAGCGGCTCGGCGAGGAAAGGGCTTCTCGGGCTGCTGTGTCCAATCACAGTCCATCACTGGAAGAGGCCGAAGCAGGAACTGACGCAGAGACCCTGGAGGAACTCTGCTTGCTAGCCTGCTCACAGTGGAGAGAACTTAGTGCATCCACAGTGAAGGGGAGGGTTGTCTGTACAACCACTCAGCAAGCAATATTCAGGTGCGCTGATGATAGTCCCACAAACCAGCAGGCTTTAAGAGAAGCCCAGGAACAGAGTCTTAGCAAGTCCTTAGGAGGAACTGCAGTTCTACCCTTCTGGTGCTGCCAGAATCTTCCAGTCTTTTTAAATTACTCTTGGGTTGAGGCAGCGCACCCCCGGGGAGTGCAGCCTCTGCTGGGAACCCCCACTGCCCTTATAGACACCCACTGAGACACAGAAAAATGGGTCCCATAAATGCTTTTCACAGGCGGTGACAGCCGCACAGATGGTCCCAAACAGAATGTCCATCACCAGGGAAGAAAGAAGTCGAGCCAGCCAGGGAAATCACAGGGCACCCAAAGTGCAGGAGCTGTACAGCTCAATCTAAATAGATGTCAGAGAGAGACCTGGGGAGAGTGAAATCTCCACAGTGACTGCAGAGCAGTGTCTGACCTCTCAGTACTCTCCTGAGCCTCTGTCTTACTGTAAACACTCTCCCCATACTGGGAGGCATAGCTGTGAACAAAGCAGATAAAGATGCTGGTGTATGGAGATAAGGTGTAAGTCCAAGGGCTCGGACATTAGAGAAGGTCCGCATGCCAGAGAGTGCAGAACTAGCATGTAAGAAACTAAAAGGTCTCAGACCCTTTTCTAAGGAATGTGTGGGGGCTTTGGGGTTTGTTTAAGCCACTGAGAGGCCGCTGTAGGAGCCAAGACCCGTGTTAGGAGGTCAGGATCCAGTGCACCGTGACAGTGGCCTGACCAAGATAGATACACAGAGGAGGAGACATGGCTAGGTCAGAGACACACCGTGCTGGTGTGTGATTTCAAAGAGTGTTGTAACCAGCACGTGACTTACAGGGACACTGAAGTCAGCGCATAACCACCAGGGATGCTGCGGCTGGTAAATGACCACCTGTGCACTGAGGCTGGTTTGTGACTACCAGAAACATCGAGGCCAGTACATAACCAGTAACAGGGACTCTGTGATCAGTCTTCTAGCACCTTAGGTGCTGGGGCCAGTACATAAATGCCATTGAGTATGCCTATAGATACAAATGTCATGAATTAAGCTGAGAACGATGTCTCATACCTGTAATCCCAGTACTCTGAAGGCTGAGGAAAGAATAGGTCAATGAGTTTGAGGCTAGCCTAGGCTACAGGGAGAAACCTTGCCTAGTATTTGTGTCAGGGTACAGAGAAGTCAGTGGTACCTATGCATCAACACACTCATGCTATTTGGATGGTTTCTGGGAGGTGTTTTTAATTTTTTTTTTTTTTTTTTTTTTTTTTTTTTTTGAGGCATAGCACAGAGCAGAGCAATTTCCAGTTCCTAAAAACAATTAAAAATAAGAATAGTTCGGGAACTCCTACAGAGCCTCTTCCCAGATCACCAATTGTTCACAGGATGAGGAGGGAGGAGGCTTATTTTGTCCTGGGGAGCCGGGCCCTGGGTGCTGTCCCCTCCCAACACCAGACCCATAGCAGCTATTCTGTGTGCCAGTTTCCAGAGTCAGCCAAAGCCTTTGCAGGAAGAGAGAAATTTTCCTGGTGAATGTGAGGAGGTTGAAAGGGGTTTCCAACTGTGTGCATGGGTCAAGCCAGGCACACCCTTCCCAGCAGCCCAGCCTTCCTTCATCTGCTACCCATGGCATCATCTGGCTAACTCTCCAAGGACCCCTGGTGTCTAAGCCGCCTGGGATGTGGGGGGATGGGGAGCTCCCTCCGTGTGGAGGAAATCTAGGCAGCAGTAGCAGCCAGGCAAGGTGAGTACCTTTGTTCTGAGTGCTGGTTGCTCAGACCTGGCTAGGAGCTAGTCACTACAAGCAGAGAGATGCCCCTGCTTGGCCCTGGAGGATCCCAGACCCTGGTAGGGATGCAGATGTGGAGACAGATGGCCTCTAAAGAGATACCGGGCATGTTTCCAGCTCAGCCAACAGAGGACAGGGAACAGGCAGGTGCCACATGCAGCTGCAGGAACCAGGCAGGCTCTGGCAGGGGCCTGGGGCTGGTGCTAACAGGAGCTTGCCCAGGGGGGTCTGTGAACACCAGATGCCCGGTTGCCCTGGTCCAAACTACAGGAAGTGGGAGACATGCCAAGTATTTTACAAAATTGGCCACAACTGACTGTTCTGAGTCTAAAGGGTTGTGTATACACATTAGCAACACAGCTTGGTATAACTAAGTTTGAGGATGTCTGCTGCACGCCAGTGATTGAGTTCCTTAGTAGGTCTTAGGAGTCCCTCTCTTGAAGACTGCAATGAGGTGTGTGTCTGAGCACCACTAAAAGCTTCCTTTGGGGAGAGGTGATTGGCATACAACAAACTCTACTTTTTTGAAATGGAAAATTAATAGATATTTTAAAAATACATTTATTTATATGCATGCATACATGCATCTATACATGCACGTGCATGCTTGTACATGTGCCATGTCATGAGTGTGGTGGTCATAGGATGGCTTGTGGGGGCGTTGATCCTCTCTTCCCACCATCCGGGGCTTTGAACTCAGATCGTCAGGTTTGGTGACAAGCACCTTCACCTGCTGAGCCGTGTCCCTGGCGCCATGTCACAGACTTTGACATATACATCCACAAAATCACCAGCACAGTCATGATGGGGACACATCTGTTTCCCATTCTAGAGGCAGTGGGACCTAAAAACAAGGCTGACCAAAGTCTCATGCGATAGCCAACTTTACCCAGAGCATCAGACAGTTTGTGCTCTGAGGGTTAAGAGTCACCTCAGTAAAGTGTACAATCCCAAGGACAAGCCACACGTGGCAAAAACATGTTTTTCCATAGACGCGTATGAATAGCAACAGCTGAAGCAAACTCACTCCTGTCCACTACACCTGGGAGGGGCGTGAAAACACACTCCAAGAACAATTCTGTGTTCTGAAGACACAGAGATCACAAGACTCGTGTCTTATTTTCTTGGCGTTTTCTCACAAGCACTCAGAAATCTCACAAGACTCCGTTCTTGGACCACGTTCTGACACACATCCATTGTAGCTGTCTTGGTAAGAAGGAGGATAGCTCAAAAATAAGTTCTCGTGCTTTCAGAGTATTAAATAAATGGACCCCACAAGTTAAAATTTCCCTGAGAATCTGGTGTGGATGGAAGGGAAAGGCTGGGGACCTGAAGCCAGCCAGAGAAGGAACTTTCCTCCCAGGAAGAGACCTCATGCCGTTCTGACAACTTAACAGACCATCTCTCAGGACAGACCAGAGCTGAGACCATGATGGGCCAATGATGAGTATCGAACGGACCAGGGCTACTGAGTGATTCACCTCATACCCTCTCGATAAACCTAAACCTCATATCAGCACCCAGAAGACAGACTTGAGGTCATTGGACATACTGATTTGTTTCTCTTCCTGCTGTGGCCACATTGAATAAACCCTTTTCTGCTTCTCACATCCCTTATTTCTGTAATTGCTATGCTGGAGACAGGAGCCAAACCGTGCTGGCTGGGACTGCCAGAGCCCAGGTTTGCACCCTCTAAACTCCAGTAACGCTGTCACTCCATGTTTTCCTGGCTTTCTTTTGAACCCCTACACAGCCCCTCCTCCCTGGTAATTCAGCACAGTGCAGCGTTTTAGAAGTCATCGCAAAGTGCTTTTTGCTGTGGTTTCTTCCACTCAGAGCTCAGAGCTGAAACCCACACATACAGTGACTGCCTCCGATTGGACTGTGTCACTCTGTGACAATGAGTCCATCCGTTCATTCAGGGGCCACTTGGGCATTCAGTAAGGTCAGGCTGTTCAATGCAGAACTTCCAGGAATAGCTCCCATCATGTGGATGCGTGCTCTC